GTTTTGTTCTTTATGTATTCTTTATATTTGCTCATCACAGAGTACCTAATTCATGAATTTCAGGTCCAAGTATCTGTGCTGGTATGACTCCATTCACCACTTTTTCTTCAGCTGCAAGTTAAATACCTTCAGAGCATGGAAAACTGATTTTTCCATTACCACCAACAAAGAAACTGCATCTGCTGCAACTTCTTTCCCACTCTGGGAGATGGTCTGATGCTACATGAAACATGTCACGCTACCTGTCAGGCCAGTGACTCACTTCCCACATCTTCCGTCTTCTTTCTTCTTGCTTTTGGAGTTAGGAAAATTCACTGAGAAGGTCCTGCCCTGTTTTTGTCTCCAATTCCCTTTGGAAATCCTGGAAGCCTCTAAAAGTATGTCATCTCCAGCCACGTCATTCCTGTCGGTGCTGACTAGGACTGGTCTAAACAGACTTCGTCTATTCATATAAATGCCAGTGAGTAATGGATTGAAAAAAAAAAAGATTGAAAACTGTTGATCTAGGCATAGTAATTTTAGTACTGCATATACATACATAATTGTTTTCCTCTGTAAACGGGAAGCTGAAGAACACTGCAATGCGCTAATTCAAACCCAGCTATTGCTGCTGCAGTCAACTGCTAGCACCCCGACAGAATGGGGGGAGCTCTGCTCGCCCTCTCTTCCCTCCCAAGGACTCTCCCACCTACCTCAGCTAACTTGCTAGCACAGTCAAAATGTTGCCTCTGTTACGAGCCTATACGGCATTATACTCAAACTCAACTATACTCAAACATTGCCAACCCCCCACCCCACCCCCAGTTGCAAGCATACACATACCACTGCGTGATCCCAACCCTATAGGCTCTCTAGACACCTTGACTGCTACGTCTTTATATCAGGGTACCAGAACAAAGCTCAACTTCAAATTAATCTCCCAATCTAAAGGCTTTAAGAGAGCCAAATGAAAGTCAAAGAACATCAGCTTTTGAATCACCAACCCAGCAGTATCACTGTGTAACTGCCCGTGTTTTCACACGTAGGGAGTGGGAGCGCAACCCCATCAGTCCCGATGTTACCAACCAACGTGAATTTCCCCTTCCAGTAAATCTTACCACTTCCTACAAATATAACAAAAATTGAGCAGTTTTGAGTCTTTGTTTCAGCAGAGCTAGCAAGAAATCCTGCTTCCAACTCACGTAGACCGATCCGTATGCAATGACGACTGTTGTTCCAGGGTGTTTGTGTGAGCTCTAACAAACCTCTGCCATAAAGGTTCAGTCAAGACTGCGCATACAGAGGTTTTAGTGGTTTATTTCTTAGAAGGAAGGTTTGTATACCATCTTCTGTTGAAATGAAAACTCAGTAAGTTCTAGGCCATGTCAAAGACCCACAATGTTTAAATGGAAGGGGAACAGTGGAAGAATAAAAGAGAAAAAAAAGGCAAAATAGTTACCTGATGAGTCCAAAGAAATATGATAAAGAATTAGACACCAGACTGCAATCCGGATTGCTTTTTTTTTTTTTTATAAAGGAATACAAAGACTAAGAAATAATCATTTTTTTTTTTAAATGACAATTTTTTTTAATGACAATTTTGTTTTTAATTCCAAAAAATCAGCAAGTTCCACCAGTACTTGCAACGCCAAATTCTCATTTTGGGGATAATACCATCAAGTAATTTATTAAAGGTTAAAGACTCCTTGCATATTACTATTCCCCTCACGAGGTGTATTCAGCACAGGATATGGAAAATTGGGAAAACATTTTGCACAGTTCAGTTTTGTGAAATACTTCTCCTGGCTTAGTCTTTTGTGCCTCAACTGTGCTAAACATGGTCCATACCTAGGGACATTGAAGGAACGTCAGACAAGGGGAAGGGAAGGAACCTGGGAGAACACAGAAACACGCTGATCCAGTATAATGTCTGAAAAAGGGCGGTAAACATGGGAGAGGTTGTATTTGCAGCTAGGCAATGAGAAAGGAACAAAGTCCATTTGGAAGACAGATTTCTTCATCTCTACCCTATAATTTTATACAACATACTGTGCACTGGGATGACACCGTAGGACAATTTGTTTAGTCAATCTCTCTATATTTAAAAAATGTCCTTTCTTGTTTCAAACAAAGTGAGGGTACAAAACGGAAGAAGGACCCTTGAGATTTCCTAGTTTGCGCTGCCAGTATCCATTCTTTTAATCTAAGGTTATCAACAAGCTTGAGTTGCAAGTTGTGGTTTTATGGGTGCTTCACACAGTTAGCGGCAATGGGGAAAAGAAACACACGGCTCTAACTATAAAAGAAACATGAATACTAAAAGAAAGGGGATACCTACTGGTTCTTGATTTGGATGATGTGAAAAGTGTTCCCCTCTCTCTCTGTTTCAAAGAGAGCGCTAGGAGGCCAGAACCAGATGAAGTATCAATTTGCGACTGAAGTCCTCCAATTCTTCCATTTCTGGGAGGCATCCAGCCCCTTCTCTGCTGAGGAGATGCCCGAAGTATACAGTCCATTTCTCAGCAGGTAGCCCTGACCTCCCGCAAAAGGAAGTTTAGAGCGGTGCATTGTGACTCAGACATTTGATGGAGTCCTTCACCCTCCAAACCTGAAGGCAGACATTAATACAATTCCAGCGAGTTGAGAAGAAGAAAAGGATATCAAAGAGAAAACGGTAAGTAGATGGACTAACAGGCCAACACACGGGGAGCAAGCTGGTGATGTTGCTACGTCAAATGTCTGCTTTTGAACTCAACATAAGTGTGTTTGCCCAGCAAATATTCAACCTGGGCCAACAGGTTTGCTGGTATATGAGAAAAGAGCTCAGCTGCGTGTAGCCAGAAGCCCAAAACATCAATACTTCCCTCTAAACACGTGCAGAGTGGGAAGACGTATGGAAAATAATTTCCCATTGCTAAGTTTCTCTTGCATACCACCACCTGGTGATGAAATCTTGCAGTCCCAAAACGAAGAAAACCTCATTGACCGTGGAGGTCAATGAGAGTTTTGTCTACAATTGTAATAGCTGAGCTCTCATTAACTTACTAATGTAATTCAATCAACGGTCAAGAAGGCAAAACAGAAATGAACAGAAAAACCTCGCTGTGTTGCTGGAGCTCTCACAGTTCTCTCATGCAGCCACCCAGTTTTGATTTGTGGCTCCACAAAGTGCTGACCACTGCTGCTAGGTGGTGAACAGAAGCATTACTGAGTTCAGGAAAAGGAACTTGAGAGACCGTAAAATAAAGTTGTCTTCTCCCAAGTGCTGCAGAGATCAGAGCCTAAGAGATCAGAGAAATGATTAAAAGAAAACCACTGACCCTAAAAAAAAAAAAAAAAAAAAAGTTGTAAAGACTGTTCCCACTATAAAGAATCACAAAATATTTTATTAATTCTAACATGAATTTCATCAGTCCAGCCCATCGAGACAAAACTTTAAAGGTGCTCACAAAAACATTCTATCTACATGGGTTTAGGAGGACCTTGGAAGAACCTACATATGCATCTCCTACATGCAGAAACCTCTCCCCCCACCCCCTAATCATATAAATAGGTATGCCAAAATGGCATGAGCTCATGAGGATTCAAAGAAAAGGCTGTACATTTTTTATAGAAAACATGAACAAAGGCAAATAACAGAATACATCCAAAAGTAATTGAAACAGATGCCAAGACTTCTGAAGGGAAAAAGGTTGAAATCTTCATGCTTCTACACATAAGCATGCCTCCAGCTGATACAGAAAGAGACTTTCCTTATGAGCTGAAACCCTTTTAATCAACATTGTAACAATGATGGTGAATGACCAAATACATTGCTATATACACTACTTGTCTGGCTGGGTAAGGCAGAACCCACACACCACAGCAGAAAACATCTTGTACCACTGCAGATTAAACCCCATGTTTTCAACAGGACTTTGTGTTTCCACAACCAGCTTATCAGAAAAGCAGTTTCCAGACAAAATGCAAGTTATATCTGAAAGACAATTCTTTTTGTATGAGTGTCAGCTGCATCATATTGATTAGTTGCAAACCCATTTTTGTTTATATAATAATTTTTATGTAAACCATTTAAACATTTACAATTTAATGAAAGATATAATTTCTGCGATTCATTTTTTCTAACCGTAATTTTGAAATTTGTCAAAAGAATTGTTGCTAGGTCTGATCTTGTAAGTTTGAGGCATGTTGAAAATCCACATAATGTTAAAGTCAGTCATGCAGTCTGTGACACAGCTGCATAACTAGATCCATGTGAATCCAAATAGGTTTTCCCAGAGCAATCACCTTTAAATGTTGTTGCCTTATATCTTTAAGATGAGAAAATCCCCATTTTACTCCAAAACCAGACTTGAGCACGATTAGAAATTTGTCAAGTGCCATGAGCATCTAAAATTGTCGCAACATTTCATGTACAGTATTGTCAAGCATGTGCAATCTGTATGTGTATAGATTGTTATTTGTGCAAAACCATGCAGACCTACTCTGTCTTCATGTGCAAATCCACACTGTCTTCAGTGAGGGGTTTGTGGTAGTCATGTAGGGCAGAATCTGGCCTACATTTACCTTCTTGGTATTTAAAAGACGAGAAGAATAATTAACTAGTATCTGTTAAAAGGCCCAACTGCAGAATGTTTTAGTAGAAAAATAAACATTTTAAGTTATTAGCAGATAAGATTAGTGCAATTATTTTGACTGCCTTACTTTCACACAGCAGATTAAAAAAATATATTGTCACTTGTGAAAAGAACCTAAGACACTTCAGAAGCAGTTATGTAGCTGCCAAATAAAGAGAAGAGGAGCAGATTCTGTGGCATGATATAACCACAGCACACACCTTATGTAGCTCTCAACGCTTTGTGCCTGTTAATGCTCCAGAAAACAAAATTCAAGGCTTGTAAACTGATTACAGTTCTGTCCATACAAAAATATATCACTTCGGTGATTTTCAAAAGGCTGACTAACTGCTTACTAGAAAGAGAACATCTTCATATTCAGCTATATCGTAGATGACATCTGGATCAACTTCTTTCTTTGAAGAACCATTTTTGGTAGTCCGAGTTGGTACAAGGTCGTAATAATGGTGCTGGGTTACCATTGTGAGCGTTTGACTGGGCTTCTACGCACTTCTGGGTTTGTAGATGAAACAAAGTACCGTCCTACAAAAGACAGAAATAATTTTTGCTTTTCAGGTCTTAAAAATTACAGGCATGTCACTGTGTTTTAAAAGTAACAGAAGACATTTATAACAAATAAATATCACACACATCCTTCTCACGGGGCCATGCAGTGAAGCTAAAATGCCTAACTTGAGAATCTCCAAAATTTTATCACAGAATCACAGAGACCCTGCTTTTAAACATACATGAACATTGCTTTTAAGTGATTTGTGTCTTGACATCTAGGCCTGTAAAGGATGTGCTAACTTTATTCACTTCCACTGCCTTTTCTTCTTCCTTTCACTAGAATATGGGCAGAGAAAAACAAAGCCAAGTACAGGCATTGCCCAAATTCACCAACTTACTGCACATCTTGCAAGTAAAATGTAAGTGGTGTTAGTCAAGTGTAGATGTTGGTAATATTTTCAGCAAAAAAATTTTCCCCTTTCTTCACAGGGTATATTTTTAGCAAAAAAGGAAAAAATATCTAAGCGTGCCCCTTGCCTGCAGATGTGTGTGAAGCTCGCTTGCTCTGCTGGAGGGCAGCACATCTGCCTCAGAGGTGTAAGGTCTGACAGGCCTCCACAGTCAGATTCCCTAAAGAACACGTTTTGAGGCCTCAGGCCCTCCTATTATGGGAGTCTCCAAGAAGATTTCATCTCCAGTTCACGTTGCTCACTCCAATCCGGGAGCGCTGTCAACTAGGATAGCGAGCTGCAACAAGGCGGCATATCCAGCTGTGGAGAACCCCCTGCTCCGAGACCCCTCCTTTGGCCCAGGTGACGTTCCCACACCTAACCATCTCCAAAGCCTCTGGTGGCTTCAAAAGAAAAAAGCCAGCACCCTGCTTCTGAGCGTAACCCGGACTCCTTTGAAAGTCTGTTCCTTCCATCTTCAGGAGCATCGCACTAATTACACCTCGAGCTGCAGCCCCTGATGCCAGCAGTGTGTGCTTGCTCACCGGCTTGCTGACAGACTTAGCTCCTGAATGACTTTCCTGTTTCCGTCGTGATAATTCAAATTTTTGAGTGGACTAATCAATATCTGCCTCACTCGTTTTTGACTCCATGCCCGTAAGAACTTAATTCTTGCCAGGCTGCTGGGAAGGCTGTTCAAACCTTTGATTATGCTACATCTATAACGACAGCTTTTCCAGCGTCTGACACTGCTCTGCACAAAGCAAGAGAAATGTGGTACTGACACCTCACCCATCACTTGCCTTGAAAGGTGGGGACTGGTGATTTTGATTTAATGCCACAGAAGAAAAAGAATCGGAGCAGAGCAGTATGCTCAAATCATACACAGGCAGGAAGTTATCACAAGAAAAGAAAGAAGATTTAAAATAATTCCTAAAGTTTGAGATGCTAAAAGTTAATGGCTGGGAGTGCAGTGGAAACATGTATTCCAGAACTGTTTTCTCTCAATTATTTCCTGAAGTGACTGAGGGTCATTCAATAGATGTCATCTTAGGGATTAATGCATTTGACCTTGAAAAATTTTGTTAAAAGTCAGCATTAAAAATGAAACGTCATTTATAAAGTCAGCCTTTTACATAGTTTGTTTTACTCAGTAATATCACTGTGAGCCTCAGTCTGGACTAGATTTAGTGAATGGACCGTAGTTTTCATATTTTTCTTTAGAATTTATTCTGCCACCTATCACTGGTGGTAGTATGAAATTTGTCAACCATGGAACCTGTAGAGTTTCGATGCATTTTGCAGACACATTATGTAAATAAACCATTTGATATATTATTTGGCTAAGGGAAAAGGTCACATAATAACACTCCAGAACCTGACCAAGGGCATCATTTTTCATCCAATTTATTTTCTCTCAGGCATCCAGGAACTCCTTCAGAGATTAAAAACTACTAAACACAAGCTCTTCTAAGATCACGTTGTGTTTATTAAATATACTCCATACTTCTCGGTATTTCTCCCCTTTGGGAGTAGGCATTAAGGTTGAAGAAGACAGGTACAGATTTGCTGAGTCCCTGCAGCCAGTAAGATGTGGCCTGTGTAGGGGTAGGAGTGGAGCGGAAGGTATTTTTTGATGGCGCATCAAATCCCACAACTGCACATTACACTGCAGAAAAGCTCCGGGAGCACTTCTGGTGCTCATGGGGAGGGTCACGAGAGACAGTTTGCAGAGGAGAAGCAGCTGCTCGAAAGCAGAGAAGAGCGTAAAGTAATGGTGGTATGTGAAGTATCAGGGATATATGGTGGTATAAATACAGGGAAATAAAAGAAATCAATGAAAGGAGAGCAGAAGCAGGCCAGCCATGAGACTGGCTGGGGAAGGGGTACACTGAGGCACCTCCATTCTCAGGAGAAGACAGTTGGGGTGAGATGTGAGCAAGAACTGAGCAGCCCACAGGAAGCACTAGATGTGGACAGGGCGAAGAGACACCTCTGCCAACCTTCCCAACTCCTTTGAGGTTAAGAAGGCCGCTTTCCTTCCTCTTATCTTCCTGTTCTTTGTGACTGGCATCCTCTTCACCTGTGCGCTGCTGCTACCCTGGCTCTAGGTTCAGATATTAAAAGCCAAGATAGCATATTTGTCCCAGAGATCCATGCCGATGTTGCGGCCTGCATGATGTGTAGGCAATAAGATAAAAAGAAAAAAAACTCAATAATTCTCTTTCCACCCACTCCCAAGGAAACCAAACGCAAACCCAAGCAGGCACGCTTACCTCTCTGAAAACAAACTTCTGGTTTTCCGGAATACTGTGGACATTTTCTTGACACAAGTACATTGTCAAGTAGTCGGTCCCTGAATCAACTGCTGCACAGATTTCTGGCTGTCGGGTGTTGTAACGTATCTCGTTATGGGATGTGTACTCGAAAAACTACAAACCCAAGAGAAGAAACAAAGGACAACAGTCATTTCATATGTACACAAGAAATTATTTATGTGGAGGATATACTAAGATACTATAATTAAGTTCACATATTAAAGTGGAGAGAAATCTTGCCAAAAATACTCAAGGAGCCTTAACTGCTGCCATTTGTTTACTATTTTACAGAAAATCGATCTCACCACAGCACTGTTTTACTCTTAAAATATATGAAATGCTGAATAAATGCCCTGGAAAACAGGCGCTCCAGCTTTAAAGAACTTACAAAATTCAACTGCAATATTCTACTTTCGCATTCTAGATCACCCTTAAAAACAGGACGGAAACCAGTTTATAGTCTGACATTATGCCTTCTTAATTCAGTTGTCACAAAACAATGTTACTTTTAATTAAGGAGTCGCTCACTGCATAGTTCAAATGCAGTTTGGTCAAGGTTCATTTCCAGTTAGAGTACTCAGGATGCATGGCGATGAGCATTTTATTATATAACATTTTAAGATATTATTTAGAGCAAATCAGCTACAGCTGCTTTTAAACATGAACAGAACTTTATTAAAGACAATTTACTGGCTTTGCTTGTTGTACAGTATTCTACAGAGGTGTTCTGAACATGCTGTAAAACATCTTGGCTTTTGTAGCAATCATGGCTGAAGACTTCCTTAAAATTTTTATATTTATCATGGACGCTTGCCAAATTTTGGACTTCATTAAAGAGCAGCAGAGTTTGAGAGTTGTTTGTATTTAGCACACTCGTAAATAATTTACATTACTATAGTGCACGGATGTGTGTTTAGATCCGATTTAGATTATACTCAAGTAGGGTAGAGGAAAGCTTTACACACATCAGAAAATTGCTTGTTACCAACAGTATAGCTGCATTAGTGGAAAGCAATAAAAGGATAAGGGAGAGAAGGAATCCTCCTTTGTTTTGTTTCACCCCTGGAGAAAGACACTGTAAGGCTTTGTGAAGGGGCCTGCAGCAATTCAGAAATGTTCTATATACTTGAACTTACCACAAAACCATCCTTAAAAACCACCAAGGCTAATTACCCTTGAAAGAGAAACTGGAAATGGAGTTTTAATGTAAACAGGACCATGTGATTACAAACTCTGCAGTCATCCGTTTCCAGGTGTAAGAGCTCTGATCTAGACTATGCTGATGGTAGTTGTTTCATGAGATCTCCTCTGCCCCTCCTCCTTTTACCACAATCAGGAATTTCTCTGCTGAGGTGGCTGTCGCAGCCGTACACAGACCAATCATAGAATCATAGAATTGTCTAGGTTGGAAGAGACCCTTGGGATCATCGAGTCCAACCATCTACCCCACTCTACAAAGTTCTCCCTTACACCATATCCCCCAACACCACATCTAAACGGCTCTTAAACACATCCAGGGATGGTGACTCAACCACCTCCCTGGGCAGCCTATTCCAGTGCCCAACCACTCTTTCTGTGAAAAATTCTTTCCTAATGTTCAGTCTAAATCTACCCTGTTGGAGCTTGAAGCCATTCCCTCTTGTTCTGTCATTAATTACCTGTGAGAAGAGACCAGCACCAACCTCTCTACAGTGTCCTTTCAAAGAGTTGTAGAGAGTGATGAGGTTTCCCCTCAGCCTCCTCCTCCTCAAACGAAACAGTCCCAGCTCCTTCAACCACTCTTAATATGATTTGGTTACTAGGCCCTTCACCAGCTTCGTTGCCCTCCTCTGCACTCACTCCAGCACCTTGCTATCTCTCTTGCATTGAGGTGCCCAAAACTGGACACAAGTTGTCCACTGCATCAGCTGGTGAAGCTCCATAGCTTTTTTTTGGGCAGTGATGCAAGTGACACCCTCCCCTCCCCAAACTAACCCGTTACCATCATTCATTTGTGATGCTGCAAAGGGAAGCAAATGTTCTGAGAAAGCAACTTCAAGTTTGAAGTCTACGTGCTGACATAACAGCCATGAGGCTCTGACTTCCCCTTGAAACCTATTGCTGGGACCTGTTCCTGTGACATAGACTGAACTGCCTTTGCTTTATGCCAGAAACGTCTCATCATCACCAAAAGTCAAATGTGGTAATATTGGCCCAATTTTTTTTTTAATTATTACTTTTTACTGCAATATATAAAGGCTATTTCCTGGCCTCCAGGCTTTAGTTCCCAGCTGCAGGAAAGCCTGCAACTTTGGGCACCACGGTGAGCTGGAAGGGCATTCATTTTAAGCCTATGACTCATGAATAAAGAAAAAGCTTCACTCCTGCTTGTTTGTGTCTGGATGGACACTTTTTTACAGCTGCCACTTTTACAAGACCACATTTAGAGCCTTGCTCATTAGTGGATTTAAGATATAACTCTTTTTTAACAGTTTGTATTCAGTATCAGTGAAAGCCTGCAAGCTGCTGATGGTATTGGATGAATCAAGAGTAGATGGAGCAGCTACTAGGTCAGAGCGGTCCTTACTACGGACACCTTTGCTGCATGACCTCTCAAGGACTTGCACCAGATTTTGGAGGACAGCAAGTGAAATGATTAATTTCTGGATAACATTAAGGGTTTGGATTATAGTATTAGCAACCAAGCATTCCCTGCCTCCTTGCCCAGTGAACTTTATACAGTTCTTTACCCTATACCGCTTCCAATGCAATAAATACTTCAGGCTTCGGGCTTTTTCAAGCTCTGGTAATACACGACAGAAATCTCTTCCTCCTCAAAAGGTGAAGTGGTTTTTAGTGCTCTTTCCTCGCCCTGTGGGTTCTGTGGGCAGAAAGTAAGCATTTTCAAACAGATCCATGGCCCAGTAACTAGTAGCTTTACTGCATTTCTTTCCTTCAGAGAGCCAGCAGATTCCCTTAAGCGCTACTGGGAAACCGTTATCCAGTGCCTACCGCTTCTGGGTGATCTATGACATATGCCCCAGCTGCATCAGTGCTTTGTGGTACCAGGGATGGAGGCAGATTTTGGCTACCTCTCCAGACCCTGAAACACACTCTCATCCCTCTCTGCATTTGGCTACTGCTCTTCTGCACGCAGGAAGAAGTTTGCACTTGATGGGTAGGTACCCCTTTCGCAGAAACCCCAAGGGCTTTGCTAAGCTCTTTGTCTGCCTCTCCCTGTTTGCCTCAAATCTATCAGCTGCAAATGGGAATGTTGGGGGGGGGCACTGTCAGACAGAGCAGGCTGCTCAGTGGTTCCCCATCCTCTTACCACATCAGGTCGGATTCCTGCTATCACATGCTGATGCCCTCTGTACCGCTTCCCAGCCACACCAAGAAGGACAATGGGCTTTATCAGTGTTGAATTTCAAAGCCTTTCATTCTCACCTACCGGGGCAGGCACTTCCACAAAACATCAGCAGCCTGAGGTCCAAGCACCGAGAAGACAGTGTTTTGTGTATTTTTTGCTGTTCTTCTATAGACACTCAGCTCCTATCACCTCAGTCATATCCTCACTTTCTTGCTATAACGAACATGCTGATTTCAAACAATCCATAGTTAGCTTTCTTACTGCTTCCACAAAAGCAATTCAAAAGGACAAAACCCTCTCACTTAGGGAACCCTCTCACTTAGGCCATGGAAAGAATTCTATTTTTTCAAAGAAAACTATTGACAAATTACCAGGGATCTGAGTTTTCTGCGAGTGGTTTTACTTACTGAGACATAAAATGGGAGCAGGTGCTGGATTTTATAAATAATCGAGAGCCCAGAGCTCTCTCCTCTTGGCACAGTGCACACAGATATTCAGAGGTCACTTTAAGTGGCGAATTGCTTCCAGTGAAAAGAGCTTTTGCAGTTGTCCCCTACATAAACAGCCACCTGCCACTAGCATATCCTGCCAGATGATGGGTGTACTGGACTGTAAGACACATATGGCTGACCAAGCTAACCTTCATTAATGTTAAATCCTATAAAGATGTTTTTGCAGAGTAACTTTACTAAGCTGCACTCTGGAGAATAACCTTCATTCCTTTATACCATGAGGCAGTGTGAATGTGCAGCATGGAGTACTATAAAGGAAGAAAGTGATGAATGGTGGAACAAACTCTGCAACTGGAGGAAGGGATGAGAAGGAGAAGACTAGAAGATTAAAAATGGGAGCTATCCAGGAAAGAAGAAAGATATGTGAAAAGGAGCAAAACGTGACTTAGTGTGGGTAGTAACTGGTGGGAGGAATAAGCAAGGGGAGAGACAGAGCAAGGGCGTTAGAGAAAGACCAGGAGCTAGCTAGCATGGAAAAGAAAGTGTTAAAGAGCACGGAGTGGAGAAAACAGAGCTGTCTGTGACATGTGGTGCAGGGCAGGGGACTGGAGTGAAGCTTTGTAATGAGGGTTTGCTGCTAAAGCTGTATATCGGTAATGTGTGGAGTGATGAGAGCAAACTGGCGGAGAGCAGGCAGAAGAGCTTGGGATTAGGGTGGCAGGTTCCCTTCCCAGGACAAAACAGAAGTTAAGGGCTGCCTGTTGTCAGCAAACATCTGTGAAACTCTGATGAAATGCCTTGCTCTCCTTCTCATTGAAACAACTAGAGGATGACCAACCTTGTCACCATCAGTGCCATCAGCTGACAGCAGTGGATGTACGTCTGGAAAATTTGACTGTTTCAGTCCTGCCACTGTCACCTGCCAACTGAGCTAAGGAATTCACACCAGCAGCCACAGCCTGTTACCTTTTAAGAATGACTGTCAAAAGGGTGATGGGATGGGAAGGAAATGGAGAGAAGTGTTCTGCTGGGAAGTTTCACGACTATTTGCGAGCCAGAAAAAGAAGGTGCAAGTTCAGCAATCCTGACTTCCATTTCCCATCTCACTTGTGCTTCTACATCTTATCTTATTTTAGCCTCCCTCTGGTCCCCCGCCTGCAGCTCTTCCTGCTGTCCACTTTTTCCTCTTGCAATTACTTACCTGTCACCCCTACTCATCCCCCCATTTGCCAACTGGTATCTCTGCTTAGACTGCTCAGTCCCCCTGACCCTTTCCACTAAAGAGGTCTCTGGTGGTTCTGCTTGTTTAATGCTCCTTCCCTCTAGCTCCTAACTACTCCCTTCCTCTGTCACACATGCCCTGCTCCTCACCTGTGGCCCTACCTCTGTCCCAAACTTCTTCTGCCTTCTGTCACCTTGTCCCCCTTTCCCTGGGTCGTGGCAATCCTTTCATGCCATGTGCCCATTTCACCAATATTGTTTCGTCTCTTTCCTGTGTTTGGCCTTCCCTCCTCAGGCTCGGCAATTCTCTTGCGTCACCTCATATTTTCTTTTGTCGGTTTATATTGCACTCAGGGAGTTTCTCCGTTTCTCCTTCCTCCTGCTGCCCAGATGCCAGCAGAGGGAGCACTCACTGCACAGCTCCGAGAGCACCGCTGCTCTCAGCCCGGTGCCTGCTATCACAGGTACACAGATGCATCGCACCATCAGCAGAGACGTTAAGAGCATTGATATCCAGTCATTTGATATCTTTGCAGTAAATTCGGTTAATCTTTTAGTGCTAGCTAAACAAAAGATAACTTTAAAAATGTCTTCTCATAAGAACTATTTTCCCGTGAACTACATTTCTCTTTTGCATTCACCTTTTACCCTATGTCTGACCTCCAGAGACATCAAAATTAACAGCATCCAGTGTGAGAATGGAAATTAGATATAAGATCACCTCACAGTGGCAACACATTCTCTAAGCCCTACTGTAACGCTTTTTAATGTACTTTTTACATTACAGCCATAGCATTAGTCAAAATGAAAATAAAACATGAATCTTACCTGATTTTGTCCCATGCCATGACATGGGTACAATATGACCCTGTGTCCAGTTATCTGGTGTTCATTTGTAGGGTTGTAATCAAAACAGAAGTTTGCCATCCCTCTATTCTTCAACTAATCAAAACAAAATAATATTTTATAGTGTTAATCTAAAGTAAGGAAGACATGCTGTAGTCACTCTACACCCATCCTGCTGGGCTGTGAGGTTTATACCCCAGAGCTGGTTCAAACTAATTGGAATAGATCAAACGGATCCAATGGCAACATCTCTCAGACTAATGTGAAATAAAACTGTTGGGACTGTCTTGACTTTGGGCACTGAAGCAGCCAGACACGATGGCTTCCCCTGGGAATGACACCGTGTTCCAGTGTATTTGCAAATGAAGCAGGTAGGAACTACAAAAAGCTGTGACGAAACCCCACAAGCCAGTACCTCATGCACAACAAAAGATTCTGCCACATCTTTAACTCCCCCCTCCCCAGGATCTCCTTGTTCCGATTTTCCTACAAAAAGACGACTACATACTTTTCTCAGTTTGTCAAGAGGGAGATGTTAGAAGGATTTGTTCTCAAAGGGAATCCAGTAACCTCTTGAGGTTGAGCAAGCAGACAGATTTTACGACCAGAAATCATGAAAGTAGGTAAGCTGTATCTTTGGAAAGAGACACTAGGTGTGATATTAAACGTTCATTACTGGTGTCGCTGATCTCTTGACACAACGGGTACATAAATTCTAGATTAAATTTTAAAATATTAAGCTACCTGATTTTAAAAACATTACACTAACTAACAAGGATTTGCATTTAAGTATTCAGGAGGCAAAACATAACTGAAAAATAAGTTAAACAATGCCATAACAATTACTGACTCCTAGTATTAGCCACTTAACCAAATTTAAAATTACACAGAGCAAAACAGGTTCTGTAAACATAGGTTCAAGCTGAATGCCCCCGTTACTGAGTGTAATTATATCACAGACAAAAAGAATAAGCAGAGTAAATCTCAGAAGAGTTA